TCTGTTAATTCTAGTCTCTCTTTGCAGGCATGTTCTTAATCTTCTTCCTTCCGTCTCCTCCTTGTTCTCTCCTTCTTGTTCTAGACCTCCTATATTTTGTTGTTGTTGTTCTTCTTGGCTTTCTGTCTCTAGCTCCTCTCTACCTCTGTTTTCTTCTTCTGTTCCTCCAATCTGCTCATAGAAATCTTGTGCCTTGTCTAAGTTATCTATCCTGATCGTCTTTTCCTGCCAACAAGCCTTCTGGAATTAACCATTGAAACATTATGTTCTTCTGGATAAGTTGTGTTGCCAAAAACTTACAGTCTTTTCTCTGTTCACACACCTTCTTGGGAACCTGCTTCTTTATCTTTATAAACCAACGGTTCATCTCGTGTTATCTTGTATATTATGTCATGTACTTGTTTCCTGGCAAATCTCATGTGGACTTCCCTGGGTAACCTGTTACGTCAAGCGTAACTCGTTTGAACTGTATAGGTCTCGTCAATTTCTAGCAGGATCTCTTGGGTCTCCCTTTGTAAAGCTGGCACAAGTAATTCTGCCATAAGCACATTCAGATCTTCATTTCTACTTTCAATGATATTTTGAAACCTCAAATAATAGGCAGCGTGGTCCATCTGTAGGTGGATAATCTGTTCTTCTAATCTTTTGTTTATTGTCATCGTCCTGTTGTCCATTAGTTCCAGTTTCTTTTCATTTTGTACTGTTCTAAGTTCCACCTCTTCTAGTTTCTGTTCATTCTTTTGCATTGTTTGCTGTATAGTATCAACTTTGTCTTCTAATTTATTAATATTGCCTTTCAATTCCATATGATTTTGTGAAATATTCTCTTGTGTTTTTACCTGTTTTTGCATTTTAAGCATGGTTTCTTGAATGGTCATTAGCGAAGCCTGTATTGTTTTCTTATTGGCTACAGTTTGTTTTTCTGCCCCTGATATTCCCTCAATTGCCTTTTGACTGGCTGTTGATGTAATTGTCAATGTTGGACTAGATGTTGTCTTCTTTGCCGTTCTCCAGGCTGATGTCATGGCACTTGTCTTATTTTCAAGTTCTGTTTATTTCTACCTATTTTATTATCTCCTTTACAATATATTTTAAACTAATCCCTTACTTTCAATTTATTCCTTCTTCTTTTCAAGTCTCTTTATTATAATTATATAGAATTAGCACTACTTGTTATCCCTTTTTCTATCTCAAAGTCAATATCACTATATATATCTAACAATATTCTACTCAGACAAAGCCCTCCTGCCTTTCCTTAAGCACAAAATATTAAATTTATTCTTTTTTTCTTTTTATCTATAATAAAAGGGGGAATCTAATTACTGTTTATATATAATCACCTAGATATACACTCGTCTTAATCTCTTAAAATTGTAATCAAAACTTATTTATCACTATATTTCCTTAGTTCAATACACAATACTTAATCAAAGTAATTATAACCTCAAATATCACCCCAATAGAGGAGGAAAGACAAAAAGCCCCCCTTTTTAGTTTCTTAATTCACTTTTAACTTAGATCAGTAATCTAGTAGTCAGATATTTGTCAAATGAAAGATCTATATCTGCATGTATCTCTATATATCTTACTCAAACACCCCTTTTCTATTTCTATTTATACACAATGTATTGTAGTTTCTCCTTTATACAATAAAAGAGGGGTCAAGGTTTAGATTCTCTATACTCACAACAATATATATTCTTCTTAAATATATAACATCCTACTCTAAGATTATTTATCACTATGTTCCTTAACCCAATAATCCTATTTAGTCAAGATAACTATACCATCAAGTTATTTCAAATTAAAGGAGAAAGCCTCCTTTTTTATTTCTTATACTCACAATCTCTTTAAGAGAGTGCTCTAATACACAAACACATTCAAATCATACAAGTCATACAGATCATATAAATCAAACTAATATTTCAATACCAGCCTATTTTGTTATCTTTAAAGTTTACAGTTCATACACCTCACTCAAAGATTTCCTTTTCTTTTCTCTACAATCTCACCATCTCAGTCCAAACTGTTTTCCACTCTCCTCTCTTTCGCTTTGTCTTTCTACTACTCCCTCCAAGTCTTTTTCTTTATGACTTCACTAATACCTCTTGTTAGGTATAGCATTAGTTCACCTAACTAGTTTGGGTAAGATAATATATATATAAGCTATGATTCTTAGTTTAAAGTGTGTGTTACTTTAAATGCAAAGCATGTAATTTTGGGTGCGGTGTGAAACCACCATAAGAGGGAGCAAGAGACGCTGATGAGACGCTGACGATTCCCTGACGCTTTGCTGGCAATTACTGGAGTTGCAGACGGTAGAGAGGAGTTTCTGAGTTTGTTGCATATCTCTCTCTACTGCGAGGAGATAAATTACTGGACTGTTATTTTGTAAGTGTACCGACCTCTCATTTTCGACATTGGAATTTGCAAATGAATAAATCCCTGGACGGACTGAACTAAGTGTATGATATATGGACTGTTTTGACTATGTTTTAACTCTTGCTGGAATAAAACTACTTTAATTGGCACTGTATCTGCTTTTACTGAGTGTAAGCTACACAACACGATATCTCACATATTTTGCCTGCCTGCCTGACTGCCCTGCAGATTCTTGCTAGGGGTGTATCCCTAACACCTCTTCCTTTTCTTTCCGATCCTCCTTCGTCGTCTCTTTCAGCCCACTCTCCACCAATTTTTTTTCTTCTCCACTCCCATTAATGTCCTGCCATCTCCTTCTGCTTGAAAATTGCTCAGTCATTCCTTTCTCCATGTCTCTCCTTTCTCACCTCCGTCGTCCCAACTTTCCTTCTGATCCTTTCAACGTCTCTCCACTTCTACTTCACCTCCTCCTTCCTTCCAAGACTTTCTTTTCTTTCCTTTGTATCACTCTCACATCCCGATTGGATTTCACTTTCTCCTTCTCCACTCGCCACATTGGTCTCATAATCGCCCTCTGTCAAAAAAGCAGAGAGAAGTCAATTGTCTCTCCCTTATCACCTACTTTTTGCCACCTCCTTTTCTGGCTTCCCTGGATTTTCTTCTCCCACCAGTTCTCATCTTATTTCAATCTCCACCTTTCAGCTTCCTAGAACTATTCACTTCCAACGTATACCCCCTCTCCTTCAGTCTCTTTCTGTTTGTAAAAAGTGCTGAATCACAGTTCTTTCTTCCTGTCCCGCTGCCTGTACTATGGGGTTATCCCCCCTCACTGGAGCTCTTTTTTCCTCGGAAACAAGTTCAAACTTACTTTTGGCAAATCATCACAGTTGCAACTTTGGGATTTTAACTTCAACGACACTTTCTGTTGATAATCTTCTCACTTCCTCCTCATTCACGGTTCAGCCATAGCCTCGGGTCTGCCATAATAAAATGACAGACACTTTCACTTTGGGTTTTCAGGGGTTTCCCTTCTTGCCGGCTGGCGATCGCGTTTTGCCTCGCTGTCTTCCAGGCTTCCCCTGTTCTCCGCTTGGCTCTCCAGGCTCCTCATGCCCCGAAAGGTCCCAAAAAGTGAAAGAAACGGGATCCAGAGATGGAGACCACTCTCCCTTCACCCTTTCACCAAGGCATCACCACCGGAAATCTCCTCTGATCAAGGAGAGATCCAGTCTAGAAATAAGGAGAAATTTCCTGACACAAAGAACAATCAATCAGTTGAATAGTTTACCTTCAGAAGTTGTAGGTGCTCCATCATTGGAGGTTTTTGAGAAGAAATTGGACAGTTATTTGTCTGAAATGGTAATGGATCTCCTGCTTCAGCAGGAGGTTTGCCTACAATATTTCCAAGGTTCCTTCCAACTCTTATTCTGATATGGATATGTAATTTTTCTGTGCAAGTTGCTAGTTGGGTATTGAGCCTCATCACATGCATAAGCCAACTATTCCTCTCTTATACCCAGCAATTCTGAAGAAGTAACTGATCTTTCCCCATTGACCTGCCTATATACTCCTCTCATATTTTTCAAATATGAAAAAAGTGAATTTTAAACTTTGTTACCTAACAAGTACTTTAAATTAGCTAAACCTCTATGATTTTGAACAGGATCCTGGAATGGGGAAAATCTACTACCACAATCTACTTGTTCAGTAAACAAAAGAAGAAAACAGTAGATCTTTTTTTTCTCAGCAATCCATTACAGCTTGCTGATTTCCTACTGTAATTTCCTTTATTGCAATTAATTTTGGAAAGTCAGCAGTCCATACCTGTCCAGGCTACTGGCTGATAGCTGCACAGATAGGATAGCTTGCAAGGTGTTTGGACAAATGGATGGAGAGAGTATAAAATTTTCAGAAAGATTTCTTTTATATCCCAAATTAGCAATTTGCTAGGTATTTTCCTGATTATGAAGTCCTTATCAGTTTCAAAGGAAATAACTCACGACTGTTGGCAAAATTCTTAAGCAGATGTTTCCATCTTAGTTCATAATGAGTGCTCATGTGCTAGGAGAGTGCAATAGTTTCCCATTCCTCATTAGAAAACATTTAAAAGAGTCAATCCCAATTCTCTAAAGTACACTAAGAAATGATTGATTTATTTTATAACAATTAATTTGCCATCCTCATAGGCAGTCAGATGTATTCCATTGATTGATTCTAATGTAATGTTAGATTTGGTAATTATGGGCATCACACGTTAAACTCAGTGTAGACTAACTTGATATATCATCTTCTTCCTTGTCACCAAGCTTTATATATAACAGCAGCTGAAACTACAAGAAAACAAAGCAAAACCAAGAGTTATAGAATGCAGATATATAGAACTGCAGAAACAGATGTTTAAGGACACATAACATTTCTATGTATACTAAGTGAGATTATTTCAAAATGAAACATTAAAATGAATCATCAAAATGAAGCAATTAATAAACCAAGACTTCATAAAAGAGATGGCTGTGATACAACTAAGGCAATAGTGTTAGATAATTAAAGTTAGTTATTATAGAAACGTGTTCAATTAAGCTAATTTTACTCCTTTCCCTGTCTTTTGTTCATTAAAGGAAAACCATTGCAGAAGGATAAAGATCCTCGGGGATTGTTACTATTGTGTATCAGGATTGACTCAGCCCAAAACTGATCATGCTCATTGCTGTGTTGAAATGGGATTGGATATGATTGACACCATCACGTAAGTACTTTACATCAGTGGTGGGATTCAAAAATTTTTACTACAAGTTCTGTGGGCATGGCTTGGTGGGCATGGCAGGGGAAGGATATTGTAAAATCTTCAGCCAGAGGTGGTATTTGCTGGTTCTCCAAGCTACTCAAAAGCTCCACTACTGGTTCTCCAGAACTGGTCAGAACCTGCTGAATACCACCTCTTCTTTACATGCTTAATGTAATGTACAGTATTTTAGGCAAAAAAAATTCAATCATTTAATCATTTTAAGAAAAGTTTCTGAATAGAGCAAAAATGATAAAAGCAGGAGTAAGATCCTCTCATTACTTTAGGCTTCAGCATTATTCAATGTTGAATACAGAACAGGTCTGGATAATGTTCAGCCATTGAAAAACTGATGTAACTGAATGCCTACTTTCAGCTTTGTGAGTCTCAAGTTGTGAAAACGTCCTGCTCTAAAGACCCAAATTCTTCCAAGAAATTTATTTTGGTAGAACAGTATGTTTTGGGGATGATGGGGGATTTAAAAGACTAAATATCCACTGAATTTATCTTCTGGAAAAAACAGTTCTCATTTTCATCAGCAAGAAATAGCAGAGTTTAAAACTTCATCCTCCTTTGTTTAGCTGAGAACTGTTGTGCATTTGTGATTCCTCAGCCCTAAGGATTAACTTTTCATAGAAAACTGTTCAGAGGAACAGTATAAGGATTTTTTTAAATTTGTCATAAAATTAATACTCAGTCTAACATAGAAACAAAGGTAGATTAATGTCTTTTCAGAATAATGTCTTTTTATTTGTAATCTTTGAAAACAATTATTTATAACATTATTTTTCTGTGGGCCATGTTTGCTTAGTTACATAAAAACTATAAGACAGTAATTTATTACATTTAAATATTGCATGGTGGTCTCTGCAATTTATCTCTGACATGAACATTCCATTTTTGTCAGCTGTCATAACAATCTAAGATAAATATGCATAAATTTCTGATATAAGAAAAATAAGTAAATTAGGATCGTATGCAAAATAAGCAAATGCTTGTCAATGGAAGCACTGCATGGAAGTTGTATCTGAAAATAAATCAATTTTAGCAAAAATTGAACAAAAGCAAGCAAAAATTAAATAAATATATTTGAATGTTAACTGAGTGCATATTTGCCAGGTGACAATACCAAAGTGAAGATTGTAAGGAAAACATTAATAAAATGCCCTTGCTAATAGGTGCACTTAGACTAGAATTAAAAGAGGTATTTGCAAAATTTGTGTAAGCAAGATATTTCTCAAAAGCTGATAGAATTTTACTTCAAATAGTACAGAATAAGGCTATCTACTGGAAAATAAGGGGCATGGGGGGAGGAAAATGCAATATTGTCATGGGTTCAACATGATTGCATTGGATTGCAACTCTCATATCTATCTCTCCATTGCTTGGGAGTATTGATTCACAGTACACATAATCATAGCTGAGTATTATTACACTTTGTACTTGAAAATGAAAAGATTTGATTGAAATTCCTACTAACTTGCAAGTAGGTAAATGATACTATTTAAAAAGCAGGGTTGAAGAATGTGAGACAATTTATTGGAGCTCACAAGAAATTCCATGGTTTTTCTTCAGTAAGTAAAATGTTTTTGTTACATAGCTAAGAAATATTTGGAAATGTAATACATTCCATTGTTTTGCTATAAACACTACATATTTATTTTATTCATCAAATTTTGGAACCACCCATCTTCATCACAGAGGGAATCTGGGCAGTATAAAATAAAATAATAAAGCATGAAAAAGGTACATAAGGGTACATTAACATTTTAAAACAGACAAGGATAACTAAAACCACTATTTAAAGTCAATTGAAAAACAAAGGGACAGCTTTCAGGGCATTTATCATTCCCATGGCTGCGTGCTCCTCTTCATTGCCCATTATTTGATAATAAGCATGTTGAATTGGATCCCGGAACAAGTCAAGTCAGGTCACATGGTGATCTGCTTTACGACCTTGACAACTTAAACTGTAATTGCCAGGTTCACTTACGGTTTTAACTCAAGGACTGCTTGTACCATAGTGGGTATGGCTTATCTTTTTGAATTAGTGCAATAAAATCTCTTCTCTATGCCACAGAACATGGCTGTGGAAAATTCTAAGCAAAACCGACATTGTCCCAGGTTTAAGGATTTAATCTTATACTGAATTCTTGGTATAATGTCTGCATCTATCACTTGATCTAATACAGCTTCATTAATGCTATCAATGTAAATGATCAATAAAATTTTCAATAATATATTTGGGTTTTCACTTATACATTTGGATTAACTATTTCATACAACAACCTGTGGAGTCCTGGGATTTCAGTGTTATCCAGAATTGCATGATTTGCTATAGCTAAGCAATGTAGTCACATTACTTCAGGCTTTATGACTAAACATTACATAATAATGGAAATTCTGGTCCCAATTGCCATTGTAACCCAAGTAGTATCTGAAGTAACAATACTGAAGTTTTTAAATATTTGATTTTATGAGGGGAGGGTAAACAAGATAATCTTTTGATAAATAATATTCTAATTTTTCTATATTTCAGATCAGTAGCTGAAGCCACTGAAGTAGATCTCAATATGAGAGTTGGTTTGCACACTGGAAGGGTTCTTTGTGGAGTTCTGGGTCTTCGAAAATGGCAGTATGATGTTTGGTCAAATGATGTGACTCTTGCTAATGTAATGGAAGCCGGAGGGTTGCCTGGGTAAGTCAATATGTTTTCCAGTTATTTATTTATGAAGCACAAATAGTATATTGATGCCACTGCTATAAAAATAAGTGAAATGCTAGACAAAGTCAAATCTATAACTCTTTTTGTCTAATTTAAATTTGTTTTCGTTGTAAATATGTAAACCAGTGGCAGATATGTCCTGATTCTAGCTCTTCCTTAGATTTGAGAATAGGATCACCAAAATTACAATATATTATTTTACCATATATCCACCAGTCCCACTTTGTTACTATTTCTTTTCTAAAAAAAAAACTTTATGGGGAACACTCAAAGATGCATCTTTGAGAAAACCTTGTTTTATATTTATTCTAAACTCTTAGAATGGCATGCTTAACAAATTGTTATTGAAATCAACATTTACTTTAACTTTATCATACCATAGGTAACTGTGCCATCCAAATCTTAATTCATCACCTTCTAAAATCTAGTAGTCTCTTATTCTGAAGATTCACCCATTCTTTTAGCTGCACCACATCAAATAACAACATACAATATAAATACAGTTTCAAATCTGGTAAACCCCAAACCCCTCTTTCTTTAACATGTAATATATCTATAACATGTAATATATATTTAACATGTAATATATAACATGTTTATATCTGATTCTTGGTTTTTTTTTCCTTGTCATATAAACTTAGAAATATTATTTTGCCATTTTTTTAAATGGAGTGTCAGTTGCAAGTATTGGTAATGTCTGAAACACAAAAAGCACCTTTGGTAAGACATTCATTTAATTACAGAAATGTTACCCAATAATAATAAATGCAATTTATCCCATTTTAATAAGTTCTCTTTAATATTATTCCAGAGAGCCACATAATTATTTTGAAATAGTTTTGTCTTTATCAGTAAGACCCCCAAATATTTCACCTTTTTCTCCACTCTAAAACCAGACTTTTTAGTCAACATATCACACTCTTATGAGATCATATTCTTAGAAAGCATTGTTATTTTCTTTTTGTTTATTTTAGAATCTACTAAAACCCCAAACTCATTTACTTTCCTCATTAAATGTATTATATTATTTTGGGGTCTTTGCAAGATTATAACCAAATCATCAGCAAATGCCCTCAATTTATAAACTTCCTTCTTGATACCTGTTATTTTCTCATTTTGCCTAATATTTTATTGAAAGTTTCCAACCCCAAATAAACAACAAAGGAGACAAGGGACATACTTTTCTCATACATGAATTAGTTAAATCGCCATTGATAATTTTTGCTTGCTGTGTCATATAAACAGCTTTGACCCCTTAAATAAAGTTCTCTCCGAAGTCCATTTCTTCCAGCACTTTATGTCAAAAGCCTTCTCTGTATCTAAGAACATTAAAGCTGACTGTTTCTCATTATGGTATTGTAAATATTCAATAATATTCAATAGTAGACACTCTAAGGTTAAAGTTTTTGGGGTTTGGGGAAAAAAACCCACAGAGTCAGGTGGAGTATTCCAGACATTGACCACTCTGTTGCTGAAGTCGTATTTCCTGCAATCAAGTTTGGCGCGATTAACCTTGAGTTTGTATCTATTGTTTGCTTTTGTGCTGTTATGGTTGAAGCTGAAGTATTCATTGTTGTTGGCATAGTAATTTAATTTAATATAAAATTTTGGAGTAAATCAAATTCTTTTAAAGTTCATATTTTGCATCTTTCTTGACTTCTCCTTTTTAAATGATTGTATTGAATGAAATGGCCTCTCATAACAACTTTGTTCCCTCCACAAATAGTCCTTAATACTGTACCTTGCCCAAAATTATTATTAAAATATTAATGTTTCTCTCTGCAGTGTTTTAACTTTTTCTCCTTCTGTAGAATACTCATTCAATCTCCATCTGAACTGAGGCCCTTCTTGTAAATGTCAGAACTGGATTATGACCTAAAAATGTTTAGGCAAAATATCATTTTTGAAACTTTATCAGCGAAGTTCTAGAAAGTTCACATCATACCTATTACTGAAAAGGATTCATACAAATAACATTTTTGTGGTCAATAACCAGCAGAAAGAAGAAAAGAAAATAATGTTCAAATATCCAGAATATCCAAAAATAAATACGTAGAAAATATCACTAAAACACTTTATTCTTATTAAAACTAACCTAAAATATAGAATTATGGAGCCCCCCCGACAAATCTGAGGAAGATACTGCACAGTAGCTGACATTAAAAAATGACCAATGAGTAATGCTGAGGCAAAGCCTTTTCCTACACAAACAAGTTCAATTGCTCTTCATTAGTTTTTATTTAATTTTGTATGCCACCACAGGTCAACTCGTAAAGCATTCCTGGCCCGCTTTTGAATTGCCATAGGCAGGAGTGAGGAGAACCAGGGCTGGGATTCTACCGGTTCTGACCGGTTTTATAGAACCCCTTGTTAACTTTCTAATCAGTTCGGAGAACCAGTTGTTAGAAGAAATCTCCGTTTGTTTTTTTCCATCCATATTCAGTGGTGGGATTCAAATTTTTTTTACTAACGGTTCTGTGGGCATGGCTTGGTGGGCGTGGCAGGGGAAGGATACTGTAAAATCTCCAGTCAGAGGTGGTATTTTCTGGTTCTCTAAACTACTCAAAATTTCCACTACCATTCTCCAGAACTGGTCAGAATCTGCTGAATACTACCTCTGTCCTTATTACATTCTTGGCAGTATGCCTAGACTTACTGTCTCTGAAGGAGTTTTTTTTTCTTTCCTGGTACTTTCTTAAAAGAGAAGGGTTGTTTTAAGCTTTTTACACTGCTGTTGGGAGGAAATACTCCCCTGGAAATACTTCCAGCCAACATGCAATGATCAGCACTTTGAAGAAATAATTGAATAATGAAGCATAGCTGCAAAAAGAAACTTTTTAATGACAAGGAACCAAGATGATAGTTTTTGGTGAAGTTTAATTCTGTCCTTGGTGATGTTTAATCCTGTCTTTATTGATGGGATAATTTCCCGATTCACCTTTTTTGGAAGGAAAAAGGTTAATCTCTTTTTTTTAATCAAGTTTTTTTATTTATTCTACTTATAGTCATCAATACATAAATGGTGTGGCTTGGTGGTACTCTCAATTTTGTTTCCACATTACATCCTTTCTCTCACTTCTTCCTCTTTTTTTAATAAAACTTTTGTTAATTTGCTAATTTCAGTTATTAGCTATTAATTCTTTTCAACACATTGTATTCCAGCATTTACTTATGCCTATTTAGTGCCAAAACCCCAATAATTATCCAATTTAATTTCCAGATTTTTGTGTTCAAATATATAAATTTTCAACTCCAAATTAATTCTTTCAATATTCGAAGCTAATTGTATAAGTTCCAATTTCCTTCTTTTTGTCTCTGGTCGCCGCTTCAATACACTTTCACAAAATATTTCTTTATTCCTTAATTCCGGGGTACCTTAATATCCATATATTTAGCCTGGTTCACTCTCTGCTCGCAACTTCACCTCTCCAGCACAGTCTAAGTTTCCTGGACTGCTTCCCATCTTTTTGGTGGCCATTTTTGACCACCGCTGCAACTTGTCTTCAGAAGGGGTTTATCCTGTCAGGGAGGGGAGATGCAGCTCCCCTTGACCCTCCAAGCAATTCCCTCTTTCTTCACCACCCCTCCAGTCCCAATTGGGACTCTCCAACAAGTGAGCTCAGAGTGAAACCATGTACAATTGCAGATTCTGCTCTGACCATGATGGAAGAGCAACCAGTAGCTCCTGAAAAAAGGCTAATCTCTGTTCCTGGAAAGAAACTGGGCTGAGAAATCTGGTTAGTTCCTGTGTCTATTTGTTCTGGTAATTGGTTTAACAAGCAACAGCTACTGTTGTGATTTAATTAATTATATTGTGTTTGAATTTTTTTCTTGCCTTCTTCTATTTGGGGAGGAGGGTCTTCCTTCACTGCTTTAATACTATCTGGGACTGTCCTTTTGGGGTATACTTCCAAGAGGCAGGATGCAAGCTTGGCACTGTTTTTTTTTTACTGCCTTTCTGGGGGGCATGTGGTCTTTCCTTAAATCTGGGTGATTTCCTTAGGATATCTTGTGAACTGAGTGAAACCAGCTGGTAATTTTAAGTGGTGCAAATGGATCTAAGGATTGCTTTTCCTGAGTATGCTCTTTCTGGAGAGTTTAAATGACCTCTCTGCTAAAGGGTTTCACTATGAGCAAGAGTTGGCTGCTGATAGTTATCATTGCATTTTAACTATTTTAATTCCTCAGCGTGCTTGGCACCCTGCCTGATTTGTAACTTAGGATTGCAGGTATTTTTAATCTAATTATTGGTATTTAGGGCAGCTTTTTGCAAGCAAAGAAACTTTTTGTATTGTTGTATAGGTAATCCTTGACTTGCAACAGTTCATTTAGTGACCACTCGAAGTTACAATGGCACTGAAAAAAGTGACTTATGACCATTTTTCACACCTATGGCCATTGCAGCATCCCCACTGTCATGAGAGGCCGGGCAAAAAGAAATGCCCCTTGACATGAGTGACATCGAGTTGGCCGCACCGACCCAGTCACATGACCACCAAGCCATACCCACCAACTAAGCCACGCCCACAGAACCAGTTGCTTAAAAAAATTGAATCCCACCACTGGGGAAAACTGATGGAGAAGCTCAGTTGCTATGACCAGAAGCACATTCCACACATACCTTTCTCTAGATTGTATCCCAGGTTCATAGAGCAAGCTAGAGAGCCTTGTTTTCTACAGCCTGTGAAAGTGCTTTGTTGGATAATGTGATTTATGACATACCCTGGGAGGAGGGGGGAAATAGGGTTATAGGTGGGGCAGAATATTATGTGGGGCAGAGCCGACCGCACTTGGGAAAGTGCCGACATGTTGCTTCTAATAAATAATTGGATTTTTTTTTTAAACGTGGCTTGAGTGTGTCCCGTTTTTGCCTCCCTGGTGTCCAGAGACACTCTGCAGGCCAAAAATGCAGCAATTTTTGCCTCCCAAGCCTCTGTGCATCTCACCAGGGGGCGCAGAAATAGGACCCACTGAGGCCTCTGGAGGCCAAAAACGCACCCATTTTTGGCCTGCCGAGTACCTCTGGACATTAGAGAGGGCAAAAATGGGACATACTGAGGCTTTGGGAGACCAAAAATGGGCCTGTATTCACTGTATAAGACACCCAGACTTGCCACTCACCTTTGGGGGGAGAGAAGTGCATTTTAAACTCTGAAAAATCCCTAGGAGAGGGAGCTTGTTTCCACCCACTTTGAAACTTATATTCTGATATCAGAAGCACTAAGCCGGGAGAGACAATATCAACTTCACCCATAGAATAGCATAGCTTATCAAATTCTGGTCTCCATTTTCATCATTCCATCCTCCATGCATAATGAGGCATTAGAGACACAGTGTGGAATTTGAAAAATTACTTTCAGGAATGTAGACTGCACAAGTTCTAATGGTATGAAATTGGAACATGGTCTAAAGTGTGCACCATATAATAATTGGGTTAGATCAGGGATCCCAACCCACGAGACATGATCCAGTACCAGGCTGCTTGGTACCAGTCTTAGAAGCAGGGGGTGAGTGCATGTATGCACACAGCTCTATTTGTTCAAGCAGCAGGCACACATGCCCACCTCTTGCACAAATGGTACTGCATGCATATGCTCACTCACACGGAATGATACTCTCCTCCCCGCCAGTCTGCAAAGCCAGAAAGGTTAGGGAATGTTGGGCTAGAGACTTAGTCTTAGAAAGCTTGAGGGCTACAGGTATGTAGTGACCTCCACTGGCACAATAAAATCTTAAGATAATGCATTTTGTGAAGCATAGTTCACATGAGACCTTTTATGGCCATTAGCCTGAAAGATTACTCCCAGATATGAGAAGCATTCCAAATGAAAGTAAATATAGATATCCTAGGATAATGTTGCAGGATCCAATCCAGTGGTGAGATTCAATTTTTTTTTACTACTGGTTCTGTGGGCGTGGCCTGGTGGGTGTGTCAGGGGAAGGATACTGTAAAACCTCCAGTCAGAGGTGGTATTGGCCAGTTCTCCAAACTACCCAAAATTTCCGCTACTGGTTCTCCAGAACTGGTCAAAACCTGCTGAATACCACCTCTGATTCAATCTGTGTTGGTCACCAAGACCAGAGGTTTGTCTTCCAAGTTTTCATACTAATGCTGAAGACCAACTTTAGGGAAGAAGGTGGGGCTGGGCAGCAAAGCCAAACAACAACCAGCAACTTAATAGCAGCCATCAACACTCCAATCAGTGTTTAAAAAGCCACATATAACAGGCAGCATATAAATATCACACACTGAACAGCACACACCCCCTGCTAGAGAGGAGTTCCCTGAAGGTGTACTCCAGCTCAAGTCCAAAAGTTTGGAAGGCAAAACCTCTGGCTCCGATGACCAATCCAGATTGTTTCCTGAATGAGAAGCATTGCACTTGCTTGATGGTATGGTTGTTAATAATCAGGTATGCTTTTTAGGTTAAATTTGTAAAATGCCTTGTTAATTTTATAGTTGATTTCCAAGTGGTTCTCTTTATAATAATATATGAAAGTATTTAAAGTTCTTGAATCGAATGTGTATGCTATAGAGAATTGCTGCATTATCTGAATATATCAGCATAATATGTGTCTCTGCTAATTTGGGTGGATTTCTGTAAAAAGGTATAGTCTTTTGCTAATCTATTTTTTAACCTTTGTATCAAGGCAACCAAGGTTAAATTGTCCATCAATTCAAAAAAGATTTGGAATAGTCTATTTTGTGAGCATTTTGTCCCTTTATTTGATGTTCTGTCAAGTCAGCAAAGTTACAGAGTAACCATTCATCAAGTAGACACCACTTTTCATAAGTAAATGATATTAATTCATCCATAAAATATTTAAAAAATTGATTTGCATTTAATTGGTACATAAATTCCTACTATCCAGTGGTGGCTGCAACTGATTTAATAACTGGCTCTGCGTGTGTGCACAGCATTAAAAAAACACCAATTTGAACCTCAAAAGCTTATCTTCTAGGACAGCCCCAGTAAGTAAAACAATTGAGGCGCGGAAATCCACTGTGCTGAGTGAATCAGCTGAGCTCAGAAAGGTGGAATTATAGGATAGGATAGGATAGAGTGGGGGTGGGTGGGCAGGACCAGTTCTAGCGAACTACCAGTTCGCTAGAACTGGTCTGGACCGGCAGCCGCCCACCACTGCTTTTACCATTATCTTTATCCCATTTAGTCCACTTTTATTGCGACAATCTACCATATTCTTGTCTTCTTACAAGCTTAAGTTTAAGCTGAAGTTTTACATAAAACACAACTTCATTTCTCTAGTTTAGTCCAATTGAGATAGATTCCTCTCCTAATATTTTATTAACTAAATATTTTCTATCTTTTATTTAATGTGGATTTCTTGTAGGAAAAGAATGTCTAGATTTAATCGCTTTGAGGAGTATTGGATCAATTAATACTTCATTATATATGTGTGTGTGTGTGTGTGTGTGTGTGTGTGTGTATGAATATATGTATATATGTACATACCTGAAAAATACCCGAAAATACTCGAACAAAGCTGAATGCCATACTTGTAAGTACCCGCGAAAACTTAAAACAAATATGTATATATGTATATATATGTGTGTGTTTTCTTAAGTTTTGGCGGGTACTTACATGTATGGGATTCAGCTTTGTTCGGGTATTTTCCCACGTCATTATAGTTGTGCTTTGAAAGTTGTAGCAACGTTTCGGCAGAATCTCATCTGCCATCATCAGGCTTCTGTATTGTGTTCATCTGTGAGTCAGACTTTTACAGTGGTTTCAGTTTTAAATTTGGGGCTAGCCTACTGCTGTGCCAGAATGGATTTTTCTTCATCATGATTGGTTGGGAGTCTTGGTCTGTGTTTATTGGTCTTGGAGTTTGCTGTGTTCTGCTTGATTGGTGTTTCTAATATCTTCTGTCTGTTTTTTTTGTCTGGCTTTTTTTGTCTTGATTGGCTGGCAACATTGTGTTCCTGTATTGGAGGCTTTTGTGCAGCCTGGCTCCGAGTAAATGGATGGCTATCATTAGTTAGGAAGCTAGGTTTCATCTGGGTGCCTGGTTGGGGTGCGTTTGAGCTGGAGGTATCAGGGAGGATCTGTTTGTGCACAGGTGTTTGCCTGGCTTGTGGTGTGGAGATTTTTTTGTTTGTGAGTGTAGGCTTCCAAATAATTGACAGTCTGGTGGAATCATCTCTTCTATTCATGCTTTCAGGTCTTTTTTCAATCTCTATGGCTTCTCTGATAATTCTGTAGCTGGGGTTTTGTATAGTGGCTAGGGTTTTGGTGCAGAAACGGCTGTGAAAGTCTGACTCACAGACGAACACAATACAGAAGCCTGATGATGGCAGATGAGATTTTGCCGAAACGTTGCTACAACTTTAAAAGCACAGCTATAATGACATGGGAAAATACCTGAACAAAGCTGAATACCATACATGTAAGTACCCGCATAA